TACGCAAAGTGCTGTGAGGGACCTTGCGACATGCGGTTCTGCGGTCACCAGCAATTTCGCCTCCTAGCCGGACAAGCTGTCTGCCGATGGGTTCCAACTCAACAATGTGTGCGTTGAAATCTTTCGGGTATGTCAGGATATGCGAGCGTACGCGGCATATGGTGTCGTGGGCACCTTTTCCATTTAATTTGTGCGCTTCCGCGCGGTAATGGACATTTTACGCTTCACGGTGCGTGGATCCAGCGTGGAATTGCGCTCACACCGTTTTCACTGTTCGTCACCATTTTCCAGGCTCCAATTCAACAAACAAGGGAGGACGCTTTCCTTGTAGCGATGCTTGGACCAGCTCCACTTCGTGGGCCGGGCTGCATGGTGATCCGTTGTGATCACATATCGCTGACCGGCGAGAAGACGTTCGTGACCCTTTGCAGCAGATCACGGCAGACGGGCTTGTATTATCGCCCAGGAATCGAGCGTGATGATGCGGAGGATTTCCCTTCGGCAAAACGAAGAATGTTAACTTAAAATTATGTGGATCCTGCCTCGCGGATCCAACACCGGCAAGTCTCTTTTCAGACTTCGCACCAACACACTGTGCCCCGATTGGCGCATCTTTCCGCCACTGCCAAGCCTGACTCGAGGGACCTTCGGTCCCCGGGTAATACGGTTTCGACACCCGGTGAATCCAGACTCAATTCGTGGGATTTGCACAAAGTGAAACAGAAGTCGAATTTGGAATTTCAAAAACCGAAGTCGAAAATCAAATGCTCATCTCTGTGTGGGAGTACAGAGATTCCCAATAGTTCTGGCAGATCACGCTGGTAGAATAATTTCAGGCCCCGTAACATAACTTCACCCATACCACCAACCTGATGTTCTTGACAGGCCAACCACAAGTCGGTCGCACACAACCATAACACAATACAGGCATATGTATACGCACGCCACGCGTGCTAGGTAGGTAACTCAACTCCCACTTGCACCGCAAGTAACCTATATCTCACTACCCTTACCCTATTGGTCAGTACACAAACTAAGTCACTATCCCACCATTACACCTTGTTCTTCAAATCACCTTCTAAACCCCACCGTCGAGAGCCGTCATTACAGACACAATCCCAGTCACCCAAACCCATGGCGCCTGCACATTCCAGTACACCAGAGGACAATGAATCTCCATCCACGGCCCCTATACCTCGGCGGGGATATAGACTCCGAAAGCCACGAAATCTGCCAGGTCCGCCTTGTCTCCCCTTCTCATTCATACTGCAGAGTTTAAGCTGACTTGAGATTTGTATTATTTCAATTGGGTTTTGATCGGAAAGACACACAAGGAAACTCCAACTCTGACGATCCTGCAGCCTCACAAAGTAAGTTACATATAGCTGTGAAGTTTAAATCTAGAAGGTCTTCGAAGCGGAAGCTGACATTCAACCTGTTAGATGAAGATGACTCCTTACTGGCGCCTCAAGACACAGATTCCGATGAATCACACTCCAGTAGTGATGATAGTGAAGAAGGTAACCGCCGTAAATCCTTCACTCTGATTTCCCTTTCTTCCACTACGAGATAAGATTTGAGCTCGGGAGTTTTACCGGTGCTTTTGTTCAGATTCCGACCTAGACCCACCCCCTGTGGTGATGAAAAAGCGAAAGAGACCGACCAAAGTCAAAAAAATCGAGGTCATCCCACCTCATCATACAGACCTCCCCAACCCAAACCCACCTGCAATTCCGGTTGACGCACACGGGCTCCGCCTTCCAAAGAGCCCCCCAGTCAAACCCGCTCTGGAGAATTATAAAGATCTAGCAGAGACGTGGAGCGAACCCGAGCTGCAGCATTACCTAATGTGCACCAAGGCCGAGGGAAATAATCGTATCCCAAACTCAATCCTGAATGAAGCAAGAGCGCTTGAAGCTGAACTGACCACACGCTTGCAAGTCTTAAGTATTGCAGGCGGGGTGTCATACGACACCCTTAAATACGGAGTGTTAAGTTACATTCCCTGTTTTCCTCGCCACTTTTCACTACAATTGTTGATATCTCCAAAACATTCGAAACAACACATACAGTCATCGTTCGGTCCGCGAGAACGAGATCAAGCCATACAACCGATTTCGCAAATTCAGCAAGGCCGCCACAGTTGACAACATAAGTGAGTTCTGTGTCACTAGTCTGTGGAGGTCTTTGCTGCATTGACACTTGTTGCCCCATAAGTGCCCCCAATCGACGATAAGCCTGGTCTGGCCACCTACAATCAAAATGTATGTGTGGCCTGGCAAGCAATCAAGGACTCGTTGGATATCGAGGTTTTTCAAAATCCCCTCTTCCGTCGCATTGCCCTGGTCATCTCTAATGACCCTGCCGACCTTCAACCTCACGAACGCCTGTCTGTCGAAGAGGAAGACTTCCGTCCAACCTTTGAACGACTTATGAATCTTAAAAAAGTTAAAGACGAACTGGCACTCAGTCGAAACCTCAATCAAATTGCAAAGTTTCAAGAAAAAGGCATTCGACAGATGGAAGACATTCACACAATGGTAAGCTTATTTTTTGCTTTACACTTTGGCTGGCCAATATAAATTCTAAATTGATACATATCTTTATGCTCACCAGCTTCAGCTTGCCTACAAGACCTACGGTGTACACTACCACCTCCTCGCGGCATCATGGAACCCATCGACTACAAACCCTTACGCTGGATGGAAGAAGGAGTTCAGCTCTGACCTGATCTACCTCAGCTCATTCTCATTCAGCAATCACATCCTCGAGCGGTTCGACCGTTTTGTCACCGGGCGAAATACCACTTGCGGCTCAAAAACCACACCCGTAGCTCCAAATGACCAACTCCGCAAGGAATTCACGCTGAGCTTGAATCAGCTCGTCAGTGAGTACAAACCCTTAAAATAAACCAACTGTAGCCACCTTGGATAACTGACCAAGAACCAATATGGAGCAGACGACCACCTTAAGCAAGTTAATCCCAAGCTACTCAAGCCACATGTACACATACATCCAAAAAAACAGCACTGTGATATCCAATTGAAAACCATACAATTTCCAACCGGCATTCAACTCAAAGTTCATCAGACTGCTGATTCCCAAGTCACCCCGGAGATGCTTGCAAAGGGCCCTGCCGCGATCATGAACAATAAAAGTATGATGCAGATTTGGTATCAGGATATCTTAGCCCGACGTTATCAAGTGGTAATCTCACCGCCAGCGATGTAACATTTCATCCTTCCTCCTTTCAAACCGTTTTGTCACTTTACAATGTTGTCCCCCAACAGATTGCACAACTCTTTCCTTATCACATAATCGTTGCAATGAAATGATAATTGCAGTACCAATTTTGTCTTTCAATATAACAACAATAGATCTGACGTGTTTTGATCTTGAGATTGAAAAAGACCTTTTGCTCATGAAAAGTCGACAAGGCAAGTGGTCAAGCCTTCACAAGCGTGATCTCATTATCTAAATCCTGTTATAGACCTAACAAGACTAGAATTTAATGTACTTATACCCCTACTCGTCCTTATAATAGCTCTCGGACTATATCCTAATATAGTACTAGACTATCTTCATGTCTTTCAAATTCATAACTACAAAACAAGACATGATGTCTCTCATGTCTTTACAAATTTGTCAACAAGACCACTTGATGGTCTGAGTCGGTGAAGGCAGCTGGGGTCTGTCGATCGTACATACACCATGACCATCACTTGTTGGTCAATCATTTGTTCAATACATGTATATAACACGCTTGATCAGTGTCAAGTACATTTGTCTTATACATACGTGATATATCCGTATGTATGTAAAATACACCTCCTCAAAAACATTCCAACATACACTTTCACATTTGAACTTACAGATGTCTCATTAGGCAGTTCGAGGGGTTTTGATCTCAAGTAAGTAAGTGCATATCACCATCCCTTGTCACATTCTTGACGATGATGCTTTAACTTACGCAGAAAACCTCAGGTAAGTGCCTCACCTCCTCGCATGCTTGATGATTATGTTTGAACTTACGCAAATATATGTACTTGTTTGAATATTTTAGATTCTAAGCGGTCAGCGGACACAGCAAACTTCACAATCAAGATTGCCACCCCTGTAGATCACACGCCCCAATAAGGCATCATGACTGTCGATCAAAATGAACAGTCAAGACCCAGCTACTAGAAATATCCACCAGGGATATTTTAAGTCGTGTCCAAAGCTAGCAAGCCCGCTTCGCCTGTTTACCGAACGGATCATCAAAGAACCAGCTACAAGAAAGAAGGTTTTATCATAAATGTTTCTATCTTGTATCCGCTCATTTCATCTTCTAAATTGATGACCGAACTCACCCAATCATATCATTCATTTGTCTAGGTATTATATACTAGGACATCGATTCACATTTCCTCCTCAGAAACCGATTCACTTTTCATCTTTGATGTGGTATCTTGGTACGCTCTGATAGGACTCAGGCGGTCCTCGATTTCAAACCAGGCTTCCCTTTATCGTATTATTGGCTCTTGGCTGCTCTGATAGGACTCAGGCGGTCCTCGATTTCCAACCACGCTTCCCTTTATTGTACTATCGGCTCTTGGCTGCTCTGATAGGACTGAGGCTACCCAATCCACATTCCATTCCGTTCTGTTAGTGATCGATTAGATTCTTGGCTGCTCTGATAGGATTCAGGTGGTTCAACTCAATCCACATCACCATTTTGTTTTTGAATACCTACTCACTCATTTTTCGATCTAATTGTCCAATACACTTTTTCTTGGATCTCACTTCCTTGGTATTACCTCATCAATCTCTGGATTAATCGTTTCTCAATCGCTGGATTAATCGATTCAATTTGTTGATCTAGGTCAAGGCCAGTCAATGCCTCCTGATCGGACGCCGCCCAGCCCTCGCTCTTCTAATGGGCCTTATGACCGACCAACAAGTGAGTTGGTCTTAACTAATCTTTAACCTGGGCAGACACATTAGATCGCTAATCATGTGTGAGTCTTTGTCTAGTAGGTACCAAAGGACAGCTTCCAGAACATCTTGTCCCCAAGAAGCCCGGCCATCAATACAGCAATAACTGCATACTTGGCTCAAAAGTCAATCAACACCTTCGGCAAATGCTTCGAGGTATTGAACCTGAAGTTATTGATTACGACCTCGCAGTGGCCTATTTCTTATTTGAAACTAGCCATCTACCTCTTCCCGATATACCCGGATCGGTCGACATCATTATCGAGGACTATCATATTCTTCGCGCCCTTACCAGCAGACAGCATGACCTTCTAACCTGCGCAAAACACATCAGATACACGATTGACCTTCACCTGGCTAACCCTGGCCCCATTCAGCCCTTTGCCCTGCGATATCCCAACAGCAATGCGCTCAACAGGCTCACCATCGAGCGGTCAAAAGCCCTGCGCCCTCTTGCATCCGATCGATCTCATGTGCTTGTAGACTTGGCCGGCCGATTGTTGGCAATCAATCTCATCCCAGGTAAAAACCTCGATCCTAAAGCCAATGATGACAAAGACGGAGACTGTAGTAACACAGATGATCCTTTACCTGAGGTACGTTCACGTCCCTGTTATTCCTTACAGTTTTTTACAATTTAATCTCGAGTGAACCAGTTTCTAATCATGTTTTCTGCCTAGTCGCGAGTTCTCAACGCTCTCGAAGGCGCGGCCGAGGTTCATAGCCTTCCACGCTACAATGGTCGTCTGGGTGATCATCTCATTAACCCTAGCGCTTCAGCTTCTTCATCAAATCATCTTGGTTCAGCTTCCGCTCAACCCCGTCTATTCAAAGGCAACAATCAACCCGTCCAGTATCCTGGCGCCATCAATGGTTCATTGCCATACGAGGCTTTTGGATATGGATTGGGATCGGTCCGTGACACGCACTAGGTCACATTGTTATCTACCTTTAGCTGATTTTTCTCCTTGTTTTGTAGCGCAATGTCAAAGCTGACACCCAAATGAAGTTGGGATTTGATCGACAAGGATGGACCCTTGATGACTGTGGAACACGACCCACGTCTGGCCGCTATCTGCCACTGGTGATGGGAATGGGTGAGCAAAATGTTTGGAAACGGGTAGAAAATGCACGACTGCTTCAAGAATTTCATTGGCCCTATGAAGTATCAAGGGCGCTCAATGCAGCTGTGCAACCAGAAACGTACAAGGTAGCCGAAAAAGTTGTACGATTTATTCAAGAAAACTCTAGTGCTCTCCTCTCATCCCGGATCAAATCTTTGGCAAACAAGGTTGTCCAAGGTAAATGGTCGTTTGTCTTGATTGTATTTCCTTCCTCATTGATATTGGTATCTGACAACCTTTCCATGTAGGTCAACAAATCAACTACAACACTCAAGTTGCACCCCATCGAGATGGCAAGAACTCAAACCTTCTGGATTCGGTTTTCATCTATGGCCGGAACTTCACCGGCGGCCGCTTTATCTTCACTTCACTCGGAGTCAGTGTTTGTGCAGATCCAGGTTACTCCATTCATGGCCGGTTTAAACTGCTTGAACATACAGTCAGTCCAATTCTACCAGGCCCCGATCTCCGTTCGCCACCTCTCCGGGTCTCTCTCGCTTTATACTCTCATGCCGACGTCTATGCAGGGCCAGCTAGAGTTTCGGCGGCTCGTACTGGTACCTCCCTTTTCAGTGATCAGTCAATGTGGCTGCCATTTGCGCCAACTAACTTTTCAATTGACACCTGCTGCAAGATATTGAGAAAGGAGGAAAATCGGTGGAGGAAGAAGTTTAAAAAAATTAGTATTTGCCACCAACTTATGATGGAGGATCTATAATACTCAAAGTCTTATGTTTTGAAATGCTTTGTTATATGTTTTTTCAAGATTTTTTATTGGCTCAAAAAGGAGGAAAATTGGTGGAGGAAGAAGTTTAAAAAAATTAGTATTTGCCACCAACTTATGATGGAGGACCTATAATACTCAAAGTCTTATGTTTTGAAATGCTTTGTTATATGTTTTTTCAAGTTTTTTTATTGGCTCAAAAAGGAGGAAAATCGGTGGAGGAAGAAGTATAAAAAAATTAGTATTTGCCACCAACTTATGATGGAGGACCTATAATACTCAAAGTCTTATGTTTTGAAATGCTTTGTTATATGTTTTTTCAAGTTTTTTTATTGGCTCACAATGATATGAATTACTTTGAATAACTCTGAATTACATAAACACTTTAAAAACACTTTCCCATCTCTTTTGTAATTGTGGTTTTTGGCTGTTTGTTTTGCTGAGGCCAATCAAATGAGTAAAAAAATTTGATTCTGTTCTTTTCTGGTGTATTTCATTTGTGTTTACCCAGACCTATTTGAAGAAGAACAAATCGTTTCAATTTCAGACCATGACTGTGGGACCATGTGTATGTCATGATTTGCATGAGTTGAGTATGTGTGATCAGTACATACACAACTCAAGGGCCGTGTTATACTTTTGTCTCATTTTAGATCCACGTGGAGAGATTATTCAAATGTGTAATACTTGAATAACAATTAGTTTGAATTGAATATGTTTGGAGCAATAAGCTTTTAATGCCTGCTTCCAAAGCATTAAACACCATATACAACATTGTATGTATGTATGAGGTGTTATTGGTGGTTTGTGTTTGTTTTTGCTGGCTGTGAGTGATCAATTACAATATTATGTGAAAAATTCAAAATAATAGATCCACCTCCACTAGATGGTTTAATGAAATGAATAGCCAAACCATTTCAATAGTTTATTGAATATTGAAATGATTCATAGTTGATTAAAGAGAGGCAATGGCCTGGGAACGCCTGCTTTCAGCCTAAGTGACCCCATATTGTTGTGAGACCGACCTATCATTTGACACCTCAGTGATCAATTTGCAACCTCAGTTGTCTAATGTATATATTGAGTGAGGTTTCTTTGTTATGAAGTTCACTGCTTAAGGTGGACAAATCTCTTGCCACTTGCATTGCTGCACTACATGAATAATGACACAGCAAAGGTTGAAGAAAAGTTGTGGTTCCACCACTTTTCTTGAAATGGTGCTTGAGTGTGATATGCATGCGGTCCACAATCCCTCAACAAATCCAAACCTGGCTACATTATGCTGATCAAACCTGGATGGAAAGCTTCTTCAATGTGAATGTTATAATGGTGGTCCTTATAACGCACAACTTCTTGACACAGTGGGTTTAATGTATCTGTATCATCATACCCAGTAGGTACCAGGTCCTTCTTGAAATGTGGGATATAGTTTACCTATTGCGTATCTTCATAAAGAGAGATTAGCACTTTCTTGCTGTAGACATGATCTCTGCCCAAAATCTAACAAAATATAAGAGTCCTGGAAGGAATCCCTAGACTCTTGACACAGAGTACCCATTGCATATCTATCAGATCAGGTGATTCTCCTTCAAGCACCTGATCTCTGCACAAAGGGTAACAAACAGTAATATGTAGGAGAAGTTATCCCTGGTCATATTATATAGGCAAGGAGATAGTATACATTGTGTATCTTCATGTGCAGAGATCAGGTGGTGTATTCTCAAGCACCTGATCTCCGCCCAAAGTTCAACAAAGAGAAATATCAACACATGGGGTATTGATAAGCTCCTAAATAAAAATAGAATTCTTTGTAGTATTTACGCTGGACTTCAAGAACATCGCATCATTCATATTTTTATCTATCTGGTAAGGGACCCCATGTTGTTAAACCCCTGATCATTTGCATCTCAACCTCACCAACTTTGGATGTGACTAATTGGTTATTTATAACCATGTTCTAAAAATTGAATTCTTTGTAGGCTTTACCCTGGACTCCAAGAACATTGTATCATCCATATTTTACAATTCCATCCAACAAGTTCTGCGAAAGATGATTATATCCAAAACAAGTAACCCAGCACCACAGTTGTAAGTCATATGTCTTTGCAAACAAATGCTCATTGCCAAAATTAACTCGAGTTGTCTCCTCTTGACAGCGATAATTCAAGAAAAACATTACAAGCCATCATTGACCATGAACAAATTATCATGGTCAAATTATTATATCAAATGTATCTGAGCCATTGATAGAACATTTATATTGTTCAATGAAATGGTTATTATACTCATAATATCACTTTGTGATCTTTTTAATCTATATATATATCATATAGACATCTATTCCCATGAGTTAACTCTGGATATCGAGGAAAACCCTGCTCTTAACTTGGTACCATTTGATACCTTGAAGTATCATAGTTGATAAAGCAAACTACCATTGTGAATACAACAGTAGTTGTATTCAGACTGACTCAAAGTTTTCTGAAGCCAACAATGACTATGATAACAACTTACTTCAATAAAGCAAAAGATACAGCCAAACAATACGGAATGAAGAAAGATCAAATCAAGGTAGCCTGTGATTACTGTACTTGTGTTCAACTACAAGATCTTCCGAACAGAAGACCTGGTAGTTCCTTGTGGTTGTTTATTTATTACTTAATAAAGGACATCAATATATCATTGATATTTTCAAGCACGTTCATAACTATGTCAACAAGATTCTTCATCATTGTAACAGTTAACCAATCAACACATACAAGTCGTTCTACAAGCTTTGAATTTTGCCCGAAGATTTAATAAACAAATTCTAAAACTAACTAGATAAGATTCAGAGATAATCTAACAAATCACCATTCATGTAGTCAAGATTTTCGTAATGCAGGTCTTCCAAACCATCTAGATCAGATTCAGAAATAATCTAACAATTCGCCATTCATGTCGTAAAGGTTTTCATAATGCAGGTCCTCTGCATGTTCATACAGGTCAGGCTCCTCTGCTTGTATTATGGGCTTTTCCGCCAAGGTCTTCCATTCTTGATCAGCCCAGGAAGTCACTGTTGCAAATTTCTCTTTCAATGCTTCATCCAGGTCATGCTGACCTTCGAGATATGTGGCAGTATCTTGAAGCTGCTGGGGGAGGTCGCGTCCCCATTGCTTCCATAGCTTGCAAGTCTGCCTCTTCACAATATTATAGAGCGATCTCAACCTACTTTGGATGGAACCAACCGCTGGTAGCATAGTGATGTCAGTGCCATGATGCATCAGTGATTTGGAAGATTATGAACTCACCCTCATCGACCTTTCGTCCCAGAGCGACCACGCGTTCATAGTACATGTTAGACCAAGCAGTCATTTGCCGCGCTTCGCGACCTATACGTCGCAGCTCTTCACCCGCACTTCTTCGAGACAGGAAGCTCTCAATACCTATTCGATTCATATCATCCTCCTCACCGGCTGCAGGGTCGAGTTCGCCTCGGTTCCAAAAGGGGTCATCCAAAGTCATTGCCATTACTTCAGCAAGTTCAGGTGATTGCGGTTGCACAGCGTCTGGGAAATCTATGGCATAACTATCTACCCGCCTCATATAAGTGTGGTACTTGGTCCGCACATTCTTAGTCTTGTCGCCCAGATGTTTTGCAAGGTACTGTTGTAGGCGGGTGCCTATGATTAACCCCCAGAAAGCATCACTAGACTGATTTACCCTTGTAAAATAATGTGGGAGCTTACCTGTGTGGCGATGGCGACGCAGCCTTGCTTCAACAAGGCCTACTTTAGCTTCGTACAGCAATGCCCGCGCAAGGGAGAGAGTCAGAAGTGCATTGTTCTGATCCTCTATTTTTGATTCCAGTTGATACAGAAGCAAGCAACCAAAACATTTGTTAATGATGGTTTTATATATTGCGGAAATTGATGTATTGCATTCATCACTCACTTGTCGCGCCTGCAAGCCTACGAAATTCGGCTCCGCCAAGGGCCGATGCCATGGCTTCGATTTGCTCTTCAATGTTGGCCACTGTAGTTGGTAGAGACATCAGGTCAATGTTATCGGCCTGCGTTCGCGCTCTTCTACGTTTCAGTTGAATACCCTTGAGCCGCTCTCTGAATTGAAAAAACACAACGTTAAAAAGACATAATTGACCAAAAATTTACAACTCACCGAGCTAAGATTAGTTCCTCTTCTAAACCCAGCATAACAAGTAGGCGCTCCCTTTTGTCAATCTGGGACTCGGTCATCACATCCAGCTGGCGTGTTCTTTGCTCATTCCACTTATTCTCAAAGAAGGTAACGTCGCGAGCTTGATTGGTCGCCGCTATGTCATTGAGAACTTGCTCTGCTTCTTGAAGCCGTTTTATTGCCTCGTGCCTTTTTCTTTTCATGTGTACCACTGAAGTGAGTGTTAGGGGTTCAGCATCAATGTAAGAGTTTGATGACCAAAAGATCTTACTAACCAGCTGTGTGCCGCAGGTGTAATCGGTGGTGTGAAGCCCGCGTATCAATTGAATCCACGTGGTGCTGTTTCGTTGAATACCTCTCCGCGCTAACCAGGGGGTCCAAAGAAGACCAGACTCGCTCAGAGCCTTCTCCATCGGAAAGGCCCCATCCCTGATTCATTCTGGGATGCCACTGCAATTGACAAGACCAACGATGCACGTAGGCGTGGAAAACACTAGTGCCAAACCTGAGTCTACCGGATCGTCGCTCTTCTTCAAACATTTTACGCTGGTTGCAAGCGGTCATTATGGGTGACTGAGATATCGAAGAGAGAATTAAAACTTACATTTTCAATACCCTTTTCCATTGTACATCCTATATCATAAAGGAGCCCGATTTTCTGATCCTCGGTCATGCCCAGAAACCACTCAATCAACGCATAACTGTAATGTAGCCTGTGGATGAAAAACCATCCTGATAAAACGTACAAGTGAGGATTCAGGAATGTCAAAGACAGACGATGCACTTACTTCTTGCCTTCCTGGACGATATTTGCAAATCGCAATGGGTGATCATGCACAGGGGGAAAAATAAAAGCTCACATAGATGTGAGCAGAGGGTACCTTCCTGATAACTCCAAAAATGTTTCAATTTCCTTCAGATTCTTTCAATTCACCATTTTGGTGGTGCCAACATGCTCAGCCTGTAATACTTAGGTATTGCTTGAGTTTGCTAAAGCATGCTCATCTTCATCTTGGGTGAGCCTTTCTTGAGCATGGATGAGTGCTCAGGACCCAGCTGACACATCACTTTATACTCAGAATCACCTTCAGAAGGGTCCAAAGGATGTCACTGAGTATTGGCTGAGGGGCCGCTCAGCTAGTCCTAAGTGGCATTCCTGGGATTGAAAGTATCCAAAGGATTTCACTCAGTATTGGATGAGGGGATGCTCAGTTCAGCACAGCTGCTCAGCCAATCCTCAGTGGTATTCCTGGGATCAGGAGGATCCAAAGGATGTCACTGAGTATTGGCTGAGGGGCTGCTCAGCTAGTCCTCAGTGACATTCCTGGGATCGGGATCAGAAGTATCCAAAGGATGTCACTCAGTATTGGCTGAGGGGATGCTCAGTTCAGTGCAGCTGCTCAGCTAGTCCTCAGTGGCATTCCTGGGATCAGAAGTATCCAAAGGATGTCACTGAGTATTAGCTGAGGGGCTGCTCAGTTCAGCACAGCTGCTCACCTAGTCCTCAGTGGCATTCCTGGGATCAGAAGTATCCAAGGGATGTCACTGAGTATTAGCTGAGGGGCTGCTCAGTTCAGCACAGCTGATCACCTAGTCCTCAGTGGCATTCCTGGGATCAGAAGTATCCAAAGGATGTCACTGAGTATTAGCTGAGGGGCTGTTCAGTTCAGCACAGCTGCTCACCTAGTCCTCAGTGGCATTCCTGGGATCAGAATTATCCAAAGGGATGGTTCCCATTGTGTTTTTCACATTTGGTAGGGTCTCTCACCGCAACTGTGCAGGCTGAGCATTGGAGGGCCCGACATGGCCTGAGCAGATGAGCTAGCCCTCCCTCAGGCTTCTTGGCTAAGGGATAAAGCCTGAGGAAGGCCTAACTCATCTGCTCAGGCAAAACTTAACTGACCATTTGATCAGATGATGAGCTGAAAGAAAACTGGAGGAAAATGGGAAGAAAATTGGAAACAATCTGGAAACAATCTTGGAGAAACCTCCAAACTTTCTCTGCTCACATCCATGTGAGCTTCTATTTTTCCCCCTGTGATGGCGGCACACCATCACCATAAGTCCCGTTTCGTCGCAACCTCCCCAGTGTGTCTCGCCTCGTTGATCATTCGCAGCCGTGTGTTGATCGGCACAAGCGGTCTAGCATGCATCAGAGTTATCAGCTCGGCTGCCATGAAGGAAATATATACTAATTACAAACTTACAATATCTTCTTTGGGGATGCCTGCCAGGCGTTGCTCCATGCAAGTGACTTGGCCTTCAGGCAGGAAGCCCATTGGCATTGTGGTGGTGGTCTTCGCGGCCTTTTGCCCAGCCGCCAGATGTCGACGATGCTGAAAGTTCCCATCCAGGCAAACAACCAAATCGGGTTCACCTTCGATCAGACTCCGGACTGGAGGGCCGAAGCATCGAGGGCAATTTTCAGCCAGTTTTTCACGTGATGAGAGGGCGAGTTCGATATCCAAAGCCCTGTCAGTTGCGGTCAGCATTTTTCGATAGGCATCAATTGCCCAACGGAAAGGAGTATGCCAACGTCGAGGCTAACAAAGCCAAACAAAACTGTTCATCAGTCCTTCAAATAGGGATTAGAATGAGGAGCAATGAGCAGTTGACTACAAAGACTGACCTGCTCGTTTTTGGTCAGTATCAAGGGATTCCAGGCGTCGAGGTATTTGTCCAGTCCGCGAGTCCAAGGGTCGACCCGGCTGGTGCAGAACTTCCACGTGACATGAAAAAATCATAGGAGGCGTATCGAGAACGCAGTTTCGGGGTATTTGGGGGAGCCCCCGATGTACCCCATGTATATTAGCCTGCTTTGATCGCTCTCTTGGCAAGGGCAGAACCTAACGTCGGCCTTCTGACAATCTGATGGGTCGAAAAAATTGGTAAAGTCCCATTACTTAGTTCAATTGAAAAGTAATTGAGACGGTCCTACGAGAGAACTTGACTTACATATAAGGTCAACAAGGTCAATTGATCTGACTCGCCATCTTGAATTTGGGCAATCACAGCTTGGCTTGTAGTCTACCTCCCACTTGGTCGGGTCGCCCCACTCAGACGCCTGGAAATGACATTCTATGTATGCATAGAACATCTCCTGCGTTGATCGAGCCAAGATACGTGCCCTTTCCTCGCGTTCTTCTTCAATTCGAGCACACTGAATGTCATCGATGAATTCCGGTCGAGCTATAAAGTGATCTGGTTCAAGATCCAGGTCAATATCCATATCGAAGTGTGGTGCGACGTCGTGACCAGGAGGCACATTGGGTGCTGCTAAAGGAGCCGGTGGCGCGTTTCGTGCCGCAACAGCTGCAGCCATACGAGCGAAGTGCTTCTTTTGAGCTTCGGAATTGGGCGGCTTTGTCCAGTAAGGCTTGGCAGCGTTGAAAGCTTGGTGGACTCCTGGAATCAGGGCATGGCAAGGTAGGTAGGGTTACTAGGTTCAGGGTGGGATCTTTATACTCGTGTCAAGAGTAATTGGATGAAATGGAGGTACGAAGGTATCCAAAGTTGATGATTTTGTCAAGACAAAAGAGAGAGATTAGAGGTATCGAGGTATCCAAAGATGAAGATGATCGTGTCGAGAGGAATTAGGCGAAATAGGTATTGAGGTATCTAAGATGATTATTGTGTCGAGACTCGTAGGCAAAGAGACAGTACATGCCTGTGACACACGTGTGCGTGCATACTGCAGAAGAACCTGCTGGTTCGCGGCCCCGCGTTGTGTACGGGGGATTTGGGCAGCAGCCAATCACCACAAAATCGGGTAGGGTATTAAATTTGATCATTGTGATACCCGGGTCTAAGACCGCGCGGAACTTGTGGCCTGGCTCCGCCTGAACTAGATGCAGACGGTCCTGGGGTAGTCACAGCCTCCCGTGGTGTACGTATATGGGACAATGTGATTTAACAATTTAACTATTATATCACTGTACTGTGAGATAGAATTTGTAAGAGTGCATTATTGGTTTTGCGCTTCATTATTTGTTGAATCAATGAAATACAATACATATGATTATAATACTATTCAGAGTCGGAACAACCACGGGGTGGGTGGGAGAATACAACATAGGCTTGAGTGCTTTAAGTATTT